TTTTGCAAAATAGAGCCGTACGGGCGATTTGTAATCTAAATTGTAAAGTCCCTCAGAGAAAAATTTAAAGAAATAAACATATTAACTTTGGCATCGCAATATATTTATGAAAATGTAATGTATGTACATAAAAACATAAATAGCTTTAATAAGAATAAGGATGTTCATACCTTAAACACTAGGAAGAAACATAAGCTTGTAATGCCAGTTACTAGACTCCACAGAATCAGTAATTCATTTATGGGCCAATGTATACGCTTTTACAACAAAATCCCCGAACATATTCAAAGTTTGTCAATAAACAAGTTTAAAAGTTTTATTAAAGAAAAACTGTACTAAAAGGGTTATTATAATATCAAGGAATACATGAATGAAAATAACCCCTGGGAATAAGGTGATCGCCACCATGCTAGTTCTATGAAAATTCATTTAAAAATGTATAAACAAAATTATTGTTAAGTGAAATTACGTTTAAAAAAAAGTTCCGCTGGGTTTCTTGCTGCTTCTTCCCAGGACAGAGGTATTTTCCGAATCAGTGATAAATAAAATAATGACTTTCAATAAGTATTATGTAATAATCCATATTGAATAAAAATCATTCTATTCTATTCTATTCTAATGTTTCCGCGTAAAATGATCTATTAATTGATAAATTTTTGATTATTCAAGAGTCAAAACCTGCGCATAGGATAGGGCACGTTTTAGGATATGTTAATTTTCTCATGATTGGGGTGTTTAGGTTTTCCACTAATTATTTCAGCTTACTACTAATGTTTTTCTTCTCGTTGCATTAGACAGGCTATTCTTTTCTATTTTTTGATATGGGAGTCATCAAAATGTGTAAAAGCATGCACAAACATGAACATTTTAGGCGTACCGCAATGTTTTGGCATGCCCACTAATGTCCTCAGTGTTTTATAACACTATACAAGGAGATCATTTTATGTCTGCTAGGTTAAACTGTCCCTTAGATTTTTAGATCGCACGTGTGAATGACCTGTCAGTTTGCTTTGGACAGTCCGTTACTCTTTACAGCCTATTAAAGTCCATTGCTGAACGTAGCCCTTTCACGTAGATTGCTTCCTAAGGGGGATATTTGCAATAGTTTCCACGCTTGGCAAGCGGGTTGGCAAACACAGTTTTTATTTATTTTAGTCGTTATTAGAAAGAATCTGCTGCTCATCTCCTGATTTGATTCCCTCTGTCACCTATTACGTCACCCACGGAATAATATGTGGTAGTTGATATTTTTACACCGACACTACACGTTACGCTTTAAAGATGGTCACTTTTAATTATTTTCAAACTTAAGAGCTGTCGTTTCGCCCTCACCGCTTGTCCTATTAATATCAGTATATCTTGTACAATGCTGATAAATTAAACAACTGACAACTGAAAAATGTTAATAAATTAAACAAATGACTCCAGTTTAGTTGTTATATTAACTTAACTATAATTCAACATACAGTATTAAAGTTGGGGTTTTAACTCTTTATTTTTTTCATTTCTATCCCGTATAATCCATTTGTTATTTATTCTTCTCGCCTGAGGCGCTAAGCCTATAGAAGTATTTCAAACTTGTGATGATTAATTGATAAAATGATTTATTTAACTAAATATAATTGATATCCAATTTCATTTCTGTTAATCTGGCACTGAAATAATTGTTTAAATTATAAAACTAGCTGTTCCCCACGACTTCACCCGCTTGGAATTAGTTGATTATATGGGTTTTGATTTTTTTAACGGAACCTTAATTCTTTTCTAAAATAAAAGTAGGCTAAGTTACTCCTTATAAAATCAGATATCTGCCAGTAAAATTTCCCATCCAAGTTGGTTCACAGGTTTTGCGTGGTGCGTATTCAGACATACGTCCGGTTAGTTTTATTATAGTATAGAATATAGAAGATATTTTATACATCGAGGGCTCGGGAGAGCCCTGAGAGGAAACGCCGTTCGCACCCAGACACAAAACGGCAAAGTGACAGCCCTGGCAGCGTGATGGCATCACTTTCTAAATACAAATTACTACGCGGCTCAAATACAAATTAACAAATAACAAATACAAAAAAATAACAAATAACAGATATATATATATATATATATATATATATATATATATATATATATATATATATATATATATATATATATATTTAATATTTTATAAAAAACGTGACAAGTTCAACTACTTAAAATTTTACTTAAAATATTATAGTCTATAGACAATTCCACTTGGTAATTTTGAAGAGTGTAATAAATTGGATGTGGAGTTTTTTTTTCTTACAAAAACCTTACCCCTACACTAGGATTTTCTCCTGTATCGTAGAGGCAGTTTATAAACATAAATTGCAATAGGACAAACAGCCAGACTCAGAACAACTATTTACTGGCCATACAAATACTTGTTCCATGCGGGATTTGAACCCGCGGACCCCAGCGCAGCAAGGGTAAAGCTCGCCCATGGTTTAACGCCCAGTGCGCTCGTGCTGAAAAGCACAAGCATATGCGTACTTATCCTGGGTGGATGCTCGAGACCGTAAAGCTCCGGATGTTTGCCTTAAGAAGTGAGCCTTTAATTAAGCCGCCAAGTCCTGCAAAAAAGCATTACGCCAAGCGAGTTTCGACCGCATTAAACGCATCGGCACAAAGCTCTCTGTAAAACCATCTAGCAGTACAGCTTCTTGGTCTCTCGCCAAAGCGGGCGAGACATACTTCTCGCGGTCTACACTGCCTCCGCTGGTAAAACCAGATGGCTCACTGGCTCATGCGCATAAGGAGAAAGCGGACTTATTTGCTTCTCTTTTTGCTTGCAATTCGCGTCTGGACAGTAGCAACAGCGTAACATTTCAATTACCTCACTACAGTACCTCTATGTCAGAGGTCTGTATCACCATCAAGGAGGTTTTTAAAACTTTGCGAAGTCTAGACGTCAACAAAGCAAGTGGACCTGATGGTATACCAGCTATAGTTCTAAAGGTCTGTGCACCTGAGTTGTCTCCTGTGTTGACACGCTTGTTCCGCCTCTCATTCAGGACTGAAATAGTGCCTAAATCTTGGAAGCTGGCCAATGTGCAGCCTGTGCCTAAAAAACTGCACCGACCCTGCCAACTATCGGCCAATTTCAATTACCTCCATACTCTGCAAGATTATGGAGCCTATATTGAACGCCCACCTCATGGCATACCTAGAGCACCTGGCAGCATTGGACTCAGTGGAGAGACATGCTAAGAGGCTCATTGGTGACCTTGATTTGGTTGAAACCAATCTTGTCAGCCTCGAGCACAGGCGCAGAGTAGCCAGTCTCTCGGTATTCTATAGGATGCATTTAGGTGAGTGTGCGCAGGAGTAACACGCTTTAACTCCTATCTCTCCTTTCCATCATCGGACAACCAGGCGGTCGGCGGGTCTTCATCCCTTTGTTGTCGATATTCTACGCATTAGAACCAAACTGTTTGCTTAGCCTTTTGTAATGCGTACAGCAAAGGAGTGGAACAATTTGCCGGCCTCTATTTTTCCGTCTGAATACAATCTGGGCATCCTCAAGGCAAGAGTGAATAGGGTTTTGTTACGATAAGACAGTGCGATTTACCATCTGAGGCTGCATCACCACTTACCACCAGGGCGCCACGGAGCCGTTCCGCGGAGTATATATTGCACTTCGAAAGGTACTTGAAGCACTAGATGCTTACTTTCTGTTAGTGTTTCGCGTGGCGTTAACAATGTACCACCTTATATACTGCAGATTTAGAAAATACTTATTTTATTTTGGTTGTATAGTTTGAATATTTTTTAGTGATTCTTAACCTATGTCTGCTATATATTTCGTAATGGGGAAGAAATGTTTGCGAGTGGCAGCCTCGTACTCATAAGCGCAGTATGGGTGACCCCCTTTCTCACTGACTTACGACCGTATTTTGTGACAATATATAGGTGACGTCAATGTTCAGAAGTGGACTTGTAGTAGTAATAATTGTAGTCGTAGAGTTCGCCTACGTAGGTTAGTACTTTGGAAACCGGTTCAAAAAGTTAAAAGTCTTGGATTCAAACTTCAATTCTGTTCTAATCACATATTATACATAACATAAAAAACAATTGTTGAACATCATCATCATCATTACAGCCCTTCACAAGTCCACTGCTGAACATAGGCCTCCCCCAAAGAATGCCACAAAGCACGGTCCTGAGCCACCTGCATCCATCGACTTCCTGCATATCTTACCAGGTTTTCACTCCATCTAGTGGGGGGACGCCCTACACTTCGCCTGCCGGTACGAGGCTGCCACTCGAGAACCTTTCTTCCCCATCGGTTGTCGGTTCTTCGAGCTATATGGCCGGCCCATTGCCACTTCAGCTTACTAATCCGTTGGGCTATGTCGGTCACTCTAGTTCTACTGCGGATATCCTCATTTCTGAGTTTATCACGCAGAGAAACTCCGAGCATAGCCCTCTCCATAGCTCGCTGTGCGACCTTGAGCTTCCTCATCCGGCCAGCAGTGAAGGACCACGTCTCAGTTCCGTATGTCATCACTGGCAACACGCACTGGGTGTACAGTCTCGTTTTCAAGTTTTGAGGTATACCTGACAAGAAGATGTGCCGTAATTTCCCGAACGCTGCCCAACCGAGTTGAATCCGTCGATTGACCTCTCGGTCGAAGTTGGACTTACCTTTTTTTTTTTTTTTTTACGGGGGGAAATCCTCATGGACTACCTCCGCCTGGGGAAAGGCGGAGGGGCGTGCCGGACTCTTACCGGCTAAAACCACCCCGGTGTCTCCTCACACGTGCGCGTGGGGCCGCGGAAATCCAAATTCTTCCGCAGCCCCACACTAGTGCTGGCCCGGTCCGTCCAGGCCTCGTCTCCTGCACGGGGTAGTGAGGTGTTAAACTACCCCGTGTATCGCCTCAGGGGCGCGCGCCGACACCCGCGCGCGCCTCCGCCTCGGGTCCATCGAGTAGGGGTGGCGGGGGCTTCCCCAAGTCCCTCGCCCCTGGACCCTTTTATGGGGGGCGGAAAAGGGCGTTGTCCGCCCTTCTCCTGCGCCCGGTGCGCCTTCTGCGGCCGGGGAAGGGAGTCGAGATCTCCCTTTCCCGTTCCGCAGTTTCCTTCTGCGACATGACGTCCTCGCAGAAGGACACCACTGCATCCCACGACTCTGCGCTACCGACCATCTTCTGCACTAAGGCCGGCAGCGACAGATCGCCTCCTACTTTATTTGTGAGGACACGGCGCTGCTCCTCCCAAGCTACACACTCGGCGAGCGTGTGTTGCGCCGTGTCCTCCCCGCAATGGACGCAGTGGTGGCACCGAGCGTCCGGCTCCCTGTCTATGCGGCAAAGGTACTTGCCGAAGCAGCCATGCCCCGACAGCACCTGCGTCACCCTAAACGACAGGGAGCCGTGCCTTCTCCCGAGCCAGTCGTCGAGTACTGGCCGGATCGCCTCGACGGTAGCGAGGCCTGCGGTAGGGCGCAGAAGCCTTTGCCGCCATTCCGCCACCAAGACCTGACGGAGCTCCTCTCGGCGCAGCGCGATCTGCCGCTGCACCGGCCTCGAGCCCCGTGCCCGCTCTTCCTCGCGCCATCGATATAATGACGCGAGTACTTTCGCCTCTAGGTCCCAGGGCGGGGATCCGGCTAGGACGCAAGCCGCCTCGTAGGAAATCGTGCGATACCCGCGGGTGACTCTGACGGCCATCGCCCTCTGCGGTTTACGCAGAATGGCGAGAGTACTGGCCGTCATGTCCATCGCCCACACAGGGGCCCCATACAGGGCCATGGACCGCACGATTCCCACGTACAACCGCCTACAGGCGGCGCTCGGGCCCCCCAAGTTGGGAAGCAACGTTGATAGCGCGCCCGCTGCACCCATCAGCTTGGGCGCCAGCCGCCGGAAGTGGGGTCCGAATTCCCATCGGCTGTCGAGCACCAATCCCAGATACTTCATGGTGGACTCGACAGCTATCCGGGCCCCGCTGACCACGATGTGTGAATCCGGCGACGGCGCGCGTCGAGGGCCATGGAACACCATGGCCTCCGACTTATTTAGGGCCACCTCCAGGCCCAGGCGCCGGATGCGGTTCACCACTTGTGACACCGCAGCCGTGGCAACCAACGCTGCTTCCCTGTGTGAACTCCCCCGGGCAGTGACGAGCGTGTCGTCCGCATAACACGTCAAGTCGGCGCCCGACGGGAGTTCACCTCTCAGCACCCAGTCGTAGCCGATGTTCCACAGGAGCGGTCCCAAGACCGAGCCCTGCGGAACACCGCACGACATGACGCGCCGACCAGCGCCGTCACGTCCCCAATAGGTAACGCATCTCTCCTCAAGGTAAGCCCCTATTGTGCGGCGGAGGAATAAATTATTATTATATATATATATATATATATATATATATATATTATAGAAATGTATATATATATATATATATATATACACATTTCTATAATATATATATATATATATATATATTATAGAAATGTGAATTAATGTTATAAAAGTGTGATGCTTTCTTATAGATTACTTTTGTTTATTTAGTAAAGATTTTATATGGTATTATATTGTAAGTTAGCCACACAAAGTATAATAATTTATTGTGGCCAATCAGAAAACATAATAAGTTGTTCCGTTTTTTCATTCGTAAACAATATTTAAAAACGTAATTCAATCCACCCTTAAACTGTCTACATATTTGAATTTTACTTTTAACCTCTAACACAAACAAAAGTTTTAATTTTTCATTTTCGTCACAAAAAAATAAGCAAATAAGACATTTTACTAACTTTGTTTTCGTTGTCTAAAATTGCTTTCACTCTATCGCAAAAAGTTTTACTTTTAAAAAAAGAAAAATTTAGATATTTTTGTAAGTTTTAACGTTATTTCTTTTTGTTTAGATTTCAAAACTCAGCTTTCGCTAAAAAAACAGTTAAGTCTATCTTGTACTAGTAACAAAAACTTTTTAAATTGAACTTTTTAGAATTAAAAGTTAAAAGTACCCTTGAATTTATATCTTAAATGTACATAGGTATCTAAGTCGATTCAGAAATAAAAATAATTCTAAACAAATGATAATATTGTACTGCATGCTTGATAACATGTAGAATCCAACACCCCATATCATTCTGTGGGTTTTGTTGTAGAAGATGAACACTAGCTACTTTCTTGTAACAACTCAAAATAATAACAAACTGTGGATGATTATCCGCCAACCAAGTGTGACAAATAAGACAATAATAAAAAATGTTGTTATTATTAATTGCCTTAGTTATTATAATTAACTACAATATAATGTCCTCCAGACCGAATTTCAATTCCGACGGCCAATCTCAATGGACGCTAGCCATCTGCGCAAAATAGGATTATAGTGTCCGAATACCCGAGTGCTTGCTTAGCACTCTCTACCCCTTCACTCTCATATTCCAGTGAGACGGCAATCCGGCACAACCCAAGAGAGATCAGGAGCTGGACCAACGGTTTTATGTGCTTTTCCGAGACACAAGGCACTGTAGTGAAACCCCGCCAACTTCTTGAATGTTTATAGATTTTTGAAAATTTCTTGACAGAAAATAAACTCAATAACTCTTTTTCGGCTAAACCAGATATTCGAAACCGGGACATCTTAATCAGCAGTTGTGTTAACGACGGGATAGCCGTGTGGCAAATATCACCTCTATAAATCAATCTATGAGTACCTACTACTGCTGAACTATGATATATAAATATATTATTTTTTAGACAAGCAGCTTCTTAATGTTTTTGTTATATGTTCTCCTCTACCGCTGAGTACATGGTCATGGTCTTAAATCAGCACCTAAAATTGGAATTTTTAACTATTTTTTTTTTTGGGTCTGATGAGGATCAAAGCCATGTTGCCCGCGTAAAAAATATAAATTTGTTTATATTCTTAGTCTTATATCGAATAGAAGTAACACAATATAAGATTTAAATTATATACAAATAAGAAAAGTGATACTCATTTCATAAAAACAAAAAATAAACATAAGCTAGTAAGTTTATTCATGGGACTATGAATTTGCTATTAATACAAAATTAAAGAAAGTGAAACTTTTAGATTTAAAAGAAAACGGTTTTTTTATGTGATGGAGAGAGTTGTAGCACGAATGGGTTGTCTCATACGGGGAAACATAACGCTCTCACTAAATACCAGCGTAAAATAGCACTTTAATTCTGCTGTGTGTCATATGGTGAGTGTAGACCTATTTTACTTAAAACGTGGTATTTCACCTTAGTCATCGAGGGTGACAAACAACGCATCTACATTTTTATTCTTAATCGAGCATACATGTAAATCTCTATGCGCTACAGCATTCTCTTACCATCAGGTGGAATGTGTCACCCTTATTCTTTAAAAAAGCCTAGAAATGTGGTAAACGCAAAAGTTAACTATCTGTTTCTAAAATAGCTTTTAATTTATATTAATGCTATATATTTTTTAATCAATTATATATATATAATTTGTTTGGTTTGGCCATGTAGAAAGAATGAATGAGGAAAGAGTGACAAAGCAAATCTATGTTGCAGAGGTGAACGGCATAGTCGGGAAGGGTCGCCCTAGGCGAAAGTTTATCGACCAAATTGGCGATATATTAAAAATGGGCCATATCAAGAGTACCTTTAACCGACGAGCGTGTATGCGTAGGTATATGGATGTGGAGGAAGCGAGAGAGGTGCCCAAGGCGTAATCTTTTTCCTAAGTCACTATGAGTTTATCAATCGATAACTTCAATAGAGTTCGTATTTAGGACATTTTAAGTTCATATTTATTTTATCGTTATCTTCTTCTTCCCTGCCAACCAGTTAAAGCTACTACTGGACGAGGGCCTCTTCCTTTGTAGAGCTAGTTTACCTTCAACGCCACGCTTGGCCTGCTAAATCAATAACTTTAATACTCTCTTACTCTTATACTACTTACACTATAACACGTTATAATTAGGATAACATTATTGTAATTTATTTCATATTTATTTATATAAATCAATTTTGTAGAAACATCTAATAACTAAAACATCCTCTACACTTCGTGTACGCCTTGCGATATTATATCTCTCAGAATATTGGGTGCGTTTTCTGTTGAAAAACAGGCGGATAAAATTATGTTTAATTTCTGAATGAAAACAATAATTAAAAGATTTTTGAGGTTTTTAATTATTATTATGTGGTTAGAAATTTAAATAAAAGAAAACCAAAAATATATAATATGCTCAAGGTTTCCTATGACATCCAAAAAGCTTCTAAGATATACAAAAGTGTGTAAATATAAAAAGGTATGGTAAAAGAGATAATAGGGGACACCCGGATTTGAACCGGGGACCTATCGATCTGCAGTCGATTGCTCTGCCACTGAGCTATATCCCCTTCAAATTAATGATCGAATTTATCAATCAATTCTAAACAATATTAAATTTTATTTTGATATTGTTTGAATTTTAGTAGTTATATTCAAAGGACATTGCTCTCCGCCCATACATTGTTCGCCCTGGAACCAAGAGCATCGGAAAATTATGTATTTTATTGTTGATCATTAGTAAATTCCTATTTGATCTTATTTTTATAGCGGACTAGCTGCATAATAGATATATTTCAAAAAAAGTATCAGATTTTGAGGTTATAATCGAACCATGAATATTACGGTTTTTCATAGATCCGAGTGATTTTTAACAAACTGAAAAACGATGTCCTAAAACATTTAGCTATTTCTAGTACCTATCTACATAATTAAGTATGCAATTTTTGTTCTAAAGCTTAAGTGTATGTAAGTGCAACGTATAAATGCATAGAATGTATTTAACAAACCTGCTTTCTGAGCATTGGTTTTGAAATGAGAGATAATGTTTGTGTGTATTAATGTAAAAATAAAAATATATGTATATAATGGCTGTTAGTATTTAGATGTTGTTATTAGCATATACGGTACAGTAAGATACCTAGTACCTAAATGTATAAGGATTTAGGCTGTCAGTCACGCCGCTAGACATGCCGTCGAACAGCGAGCGTATCAACCATAGTTTCAACCAAGTTTCAACAGCGCGCGCATGAACAGCGTGAATATTATAGACTACTATCTAGTACATTTGCAAGCGTGTGCGTCTGGACGGCGCTGTTCAAACGCGTGACTATGAAACCAGCCCTACCGACTTAGTACCTAATTGGTAGTATAAGTTGTTTTTACACGTACATTAACTTATTATGTTTGAATTAGAAATAAAACACAGATTAATTTCATGTTTATTGTCTTTTTCTAAATTGGAAATAAGAAAATTGTCTAAAAACTGTGCAGGGATGTCGATATTATTTTGATGTCTCGTAAAGTTCAAGTAACAAATAATAGTCATAACATGGGCGCAGCAACCGATGGTTCTGCGTACAACGATGCAATTACAGCAATATTGCACGATTGCTTCTCTGTTCATCTTTAAACAATATTGTACCACCAGCAGAGCCGCTATTTACACATAATACACTTTCCATTGCGTATGCGTAAGTCCGTTTATGAATGCTAGGTTATCGTTTGAGTGGTACACAGTTCGAAAAATCACAACAAGGTAAGTCGTTCTTGAAAGCAATCAGAGTCCGTTAAAATAGCCAAGTCGTAATGTTCAATATATAGTCCCGAAAGTCACCACAACACCGATACAATTATGTACAAAGACAATTACAATTGCAAACAACGCCAACCAATGTAACTTTGACAGAATTAGAGATGACGGTACAAAGTAGGCATGTCCATTTGAAATCGTTTAATCGATTGTTTATAGTAACGGAATCAATTTTCCAGATCGATATAGATCTGAAGAATCCTTGTCCGATGTCGATACAGAAACCTCTCGAATCGGACTTATAAGAACTAGCTATATTTCATACGATTCAAGAAATACTTTTGCATAGTTGGAACATCTGTTCCTTGTGACAGACAGAAAAATTGTTCTGTTCTGGGTTCGATCCCAGGGTTGGGCAAATTATGATTCGGTTGTTATAACTTGAAGTTCCCAGTAATAGCACGGAGTCTGGATTTGTGTCCGGTGTTTGGCAATACGCGCATCCCCTATTACATGGGATATATATGTATAACATAACAGTACTTACACACCTCTACCTACTCCTTCTGGAAAATACTGGCGTAATATTATGTTTATTAATTTAATGATTTTTCTATACAGTTACTTGAATTTACGGTAAGTTACCGTCAATAATGTTCTGTGTCTATATTAGGCATGTTTGAAAATGTCGCGATTGATCAAAAAAAGATCTGTTAATGC